AGTCTATCTGTTCCGCACGTTGATCTTTGCTCAGTGAAGGAACAGTCTACGGTCTCTAGGATGAAGTCTTGGGCAACAAGAATAGCCTTCTTCGTAACCTCTGCCTTTGTCCTTTCCCTTTGTACCGCATTATCATAAAGAATCTGTAAATGCGTTTTTTTCGTGTTGCTGACTGCGTTGAGCGTGGCCTGCCATTGATTAGCAGTTATTTGTGCCATGTCGGAGGATTGGGAGTTAACAGAACCCTCAAGAGGGGTCCTCTCTTTCCTCACTTTCTGACGAACACTCCTCTTCCTCTTTCTGACTCCCTCAAGAGAAGCACTCAGCCTCTCCCTCCTTTCTCCTTCTTGAGCACGGGTCTAGAAGGGCATTGAGATAATTCATAGGAAGGAACAAAAAAAAGAGAGCACGAGGAGAAAGGATAAAACTCGTAGCCAGAGTGGCAATTCATTTGGACTAGACAATTAGGGCCTCACTCCACTACTCTCGACATGTGCAAAACGAGAGTGAATCTTCCGCTAGAACGTGGAAAGACACGGCCATGATTTTTGTCTTTTGTGCATGTTGAGAGTAGTGAAGTGAGGGCCTTACAAACGAAAAGCAAAAGAAATAAACCAACAAGAGAGGTCTGATTTAACTAGTGGGTCGGATCAGATCACGCACGGGATTCACTCTTATCTAATCTAATGCAGTTACACAGATAAAAAATGAACAGATAAATCGGATGCTAGAAATGAACCGGTGGAAGCAATGGAGATTCGAGTGGACTAGACAATTGCGAGCTAAGCTACGATTTGGTGTTAGAGTTTGCAAGAAAAACGCAGTCAAGATCCACTTGAAAGTGAGTGTTCAGTTTGCAAGAAAAACGCAGTCAAGATCCACTTGAAAGTGAGTGTTCCATCCTAGAGTGCCCCCTCCTTCCAGCAAGAGAAAAACTGCTTGTAGTGGCATTAAAATTGGTAGCAAGGGGGCTGTTTATGCTGGAACATAGTCCCACTGGGTACTCAAGGTCCCAGGTAGGGTGCCAACCTATCCAGCAAAGAAGAGTACCACCTTGTGTCCCAGACTATCCCTGCGGTACTGAAAGGAACAGACAAGTTCAGATGGTCCCTACTCAGCTACTACCAATTCAGAATGAAAAGACAAAAGCACTGTTGTTACGATCCTGGCCAATTTCGAAGTGCAAGATTCATGAGAAACTTAGAGAAAGCACAATGCCGTCCAAATGGAAAAGAAATGAATGAACTTGAGAGGAGAGAGGGAAAGAAGAACAAGAAGAAGAAATAAAGAAAGAAGAATGATAATCCCCCTTCTCCTCGCCAACCAAACTCCTCCTCCTTTACTCCTCGCTCTTATTCAAACAATAAATAATAATGATAATGATGAATGGCAGAACCAGAGTCAATGTCTGAATCTCTCTTCTACTGCCAGCACCACTTGAGGTCCACCATAGCCATGGCCACCCTTCTCCTTCCTCTTCAGGTAGGCCGAGGCTATGGCGGACTACTAAGGGCCCTGCCCTGCTGCACAAAAGACAACGCAAAGCAGCTATGGCCTCTCACTCTCAGGCCCCCGTGCCTGCCTCAGAGATTCTTGATGTAGCTCTATCCCAACGGGGGGCTTCCACATGCAGTGCCAAGCAAGGTGATGAAGATGCCATCCACCATAGCCAGGTAAGTACCCCTGGCGCTCCCTTCCCCTAGTCCTCTTCTTCCTCCTCCTCCTACCCGAGCTCCTCCACGATAGCCAAGGTGGAGGGCTGGGCACTCCTTCCCCACAGCGCGGTATACCAGCGCTGATCCACCATGGGCTCCAGCAGCGTGTCGCCCAAACTTAAAACTTGCACGCAGCAAATGAGGCTGAGCCTCTCGCTCAGCCTGGAGATATAGCGGCCAACTTGCCTCTTGGGCGGTGACTTCCAGGCCGCACGGCCTCCAGGCAATCGGTACCTCCTCCCTTTCGGAGGGAAACATCATTGGGCGGTGACTTCCAGGCCGCGCAGCCTCCAGGCAATCGGTACCTCCTCCCTTTCGGAGGGAAACATCATTGCGGACTCTGATCTTGTCCGCACAGGCCCTAGACTCAGACTGTGTGCACTGGTACCTGCCTAGACCTAGCCTACAACCACTGGGTCTCTAAAAATGCCAACTTTCGTTGTCTTCTTCTGCTCGGCCTCCAGTCCCCGACACATCTACCACTACTTGGTGTGGTACCGGCCTACCTACTGCTTGAGTGTTTTTCCCGCTGCTCTAAGTGTCGCGAGCCTACTCCAGCCACTTGAGTGTTTTCCCCGCTGCAACCCTCAAATTCACGGCCACAGGTAAGTACCGGCCCTCCGGGGCCTCCATGCAAACAAGTGCCCTTGCAGGTCACACACTCACTCAGACCGACAAACACTCAGACAGGCACACAGACCAGCAAGCGAGCACACACATACACACATAGAAAACTCAGCAGAAAGCGGGAATCTCAGCAAGGCATTCATTCCAGCGGCAAAACTCAGAAATCAGCTGTGTTCTCAGTCCGTGTTCTGGCAGGTCCTTACACTGTAGAAAGATATGCAATGCCAACCAAGATACTTCCATCATCCATCAATCAGGTGAGAGAGCAGTCCACAAAGCCAAGGCCAAGAGAGTAGGAAAAGAAGCCCAGCATACCCCATCAAGTCATGCAGCACCATGCACTCCATGGGCATACCCCAGTTACGTGGCACTTACCTGTGTATCCCGGACCTAGGAGATGCCCTACATCCCCCTCTCTCGTATGTCCTCCTGACCCAATTAGCAACCTCTACACTAGTGTCCTAGCAACCTAGGAGGGCCTACTGTACACCAATGTACACTGCCGCATCCCACGTCGATGTTGAACACGAATCAGCAACTTGCGGTCCTTCGGTGCAGCCATGGCTATTTCCCTACCAAGCTCGCCCTCTTGTAGGGAAGACCAAAAGTCACGCAATGTCCTCCTCAAGCTTAGAGTCCAGGTGTGAGTGCCTCTCACTCTCTCCTCTCCCAAATCACTCCAACAAGTCACCTGTGGTGTCTCGCCAGCCCATGCATCCACTCCATCAACCTAGCAGCAGGTCATATGTCGACCCACCAAGACCTAGACGAGGAGGGGGCAGCTCCCACTTACCTCGACACCCCGCTTACCTCACTAACCAGCCCTAATCCGATATTAATTGGTCCGAATTATCTCGGAATAAGGTTGGGGCAACAAGACTACCTCTGGCCAGTCAGGGAAGTACTGCTCCGGTACCAGTTGTTGTGATCCTGGCTGTCTTGAAGCGCAATTACTCAAAGAAAGACAATGCCGGTCAATTGCGGCTGAGGTTGAAGAACTTGGAAAGAGAAGTAGACAAATGAAGAAGAAGAAATAAGACTGGAAGAAGAAGGAGAAGAAGAAGATGTGCACCAGCAAAGGTCAATGTCAAATCCCCTTCCACCATCTCCATCCTCTTTAAACTCCCCCGAACTTCTTTACAATAATAATGATATAATAACAATGAAAGAATGGACCAGAACCAATGTCCGAATCTCCTTCTTACTGCCGGTCACTCATGAGGTCCACCATAGCCTTCTTTCTAGTCAAGTAGGTGGCTATGGAAGAGCAGCGGAGCCTTGCTCCGATGTTCAAAGGGCAATGCAAAGCTGATTTGCCGGTCCTACTAAGGCCGCCATCCCTATCACTACTCCGAAGCCCTCCTTGAATGAGCCAACCCCAACCGGGGCCTTCCCGGTGCAGCGCAAACCAAGAAAATGAAGTTGCAGGCCACCATAGCCAGGTAACCACCCTCGTCACTCTCATCCTTGTCCACCGTCTTCCTCCTCCTCCTCCTACTTCTCGGAGCCTTCCTCCTTGGTCCTGTCCACCATATCCAAGGTTGAGGGCCAAACCCGCCTTCTTCCTTCCCAGCGCTGGTACACCAAGTGCTTGCTCCAGCAGTGTAACGCCAAACTTGCACACCGTAAAATGATGAAGATCTCTGTGCTCTCTTCAAAGATATACCAGGCTGCTGCCTCCTTGGGCGGCAACTTTCAAGGCCGCTTGGCCTCCCAAGCTACTGGTACCTTCCTTCTTTTGGAGGGACTGCTATCCCTTGCTGCGGGCCCTAAACTCAGACTACTGGACCAGTACCCCTAACCCTAAGCCTCCCGGACTCTAAAACTTCCTTGGGCCTCTAATAAAGGTACCAACTTTTTGCCTTCTTCTGCCTAACTACCCGCTACTTTAGTGTTTTCCTTCCTACGCAGGCCTAGTTTACCCACCACTTGAGTGTTTTCCATCCTACGCGGGCCTAGCCTACCGCTAAGTTCCCGCCGCAACCCCACACAAACACGGCCACAGGTAAGTACCTGGCCCGAGGGCCTTTCCACACACAAGTATCCCTGCTGGGTCACACACACACCCCAAGCAATCATGCAGTCAGACAAACACACGGAAACTCGGCAATTATCCACACACACACACATACTTAGAAATCTCAGGAGTATGCGTGAATCCCAGCAAGTCACACAATCCAGCCGCAAAACTCAGAGAACAGCAGAGTTCTGACTCTGCAATTTCGTAGCTCATTACAGGAGGATGTGCAATGTGCAATGATGCTATGCCTGGAGGTCACAAACCAAGCACTTTAAGATAGCGATGTGCTGTTATCACACGTCTCATGAAACGTCGTACTGCTTCGATGTCCTATGTGATGTCTTCTCAATCATTTGGTTTGATTCCCAACCATTTCCACAGTTCACTGCTAGTAAGTTTCTGATTGACAGCTAATTGCCAATTGGCCCTTTCTCGTGAATATGCCTATGATATCTATCCTAGAGATCCGAGTCCTTTCCCTATCTACTGTCTGGTTTTTGAGTCCTTTCCCTATCTTTCTTTGAATTCCGAGTCATTTACATCACGTCTCCTCACTACCTCTCGCTCTCTCTCTCTCTCTCGTTCCCCCCTCTCTCTCTGTCCTTGTCACTGACTCTTTCCCGTCTTTTGCTTTGCAG